TCCAGGCCCCATCCCATTCCATGCAGCGGAATGACAGAATGCCCCTGCACATTGTGTTATAATCACACACACTATTATAGCTATGATACACTATTCTTATTCAGTTCGTGTTTTCATTTTAATGCTTCAATCCAGGGAATACAACCTTTTAGCATTTACAGCCCTTTGGTTCTGTTAGTTTGGTCAAATTGGTGTGGTATTTACAGATCAATAGTAAAATCTGCTGAGGTGAGTAGAATCCCGTGGTACTTAACCTTTCCTTTACACAGCACGCTGGAGAAAATCACCAGCACGGGGCCTCACTGAGCAAGGCCAGAAGTTCATCACTGCTGAATAACTACTTAATTAGATACCTTTCAGAAAACTGCAACCTCCCGGAAAGGTCAGCCCCGGCTGGGACAGCCACGTAGATCCAGAGTGGGAGGGAGAGGCTGCACGTGGCACACAATCAGAACCACTGAATTTTCAACACCTCGGTAATGGTGCTCTCTGGCCTTGTGTCTTGATTAACTGATGTACCGCCAGGGCGGGGGGAATGAGAATGAACAAATACAACAGCCTACTACTATGAATAACTTGCCTTTTTTTTCATGAGATGCATGAAACATTGAGAAGGAGGCAGGGAACGCCTCGCAGAGGTGACAGGGGAGGTAGAGAGATACCCGATTCTTAGCCTTAAGCACTGATGAACAGTATCTCCCCATCAGCTTCTTTTCATTGTATGGACTTCAGTGCTAATGTGCTCAACAGTGAACTGTGTTCCATTCTCATTGAAATAAAGCACCTTCATTATTTCTTAAGCGTGTGTTTATAAATGTGTATTAACAAGTACATAACCCCTGCTCTTGGCCTCATTCTCTCCCCTGGAAACAGCAGCTTGAGGGCCAAATGATGGCCAGCTGGTGACCTGCCACTGGATTATGAGCTCAGGGTTAATTTGCAAGTCTAAAAAGCACAGATGAGCAGTTTTTCAATTTAAGAACTCATCTTCTAAACACGCTTCTTGTTTTCAGAGAGAACTCTGAAGCCTGAGGAAGGCACCTTGCTCTGAAGGGATGGGGCCCAGAAAATGTGTAGGGCTTGTCACTAAAATTTAGGATTGTCACTAAAATTACTCAGGGATCACATCAGGGGCTGTCTAGAGGGGCGTGATGGTGGTAGTGTAAGAATAGAAATAGGTTAGCATAAGCATAGCCATCTTAAAAGCCTAGAAGCCATTTTCTGAGTATGTGACTTAGAAAGAAAAACTGGAACTGGGTAAGGCCTTGAAAAACAAGTTAATCATGAACACCAGGTGGTGGGCAGCTGTGGCCTTTAGTCAGCTAACCTTGGTCAGCTAATCTTACATACCAAGCTTATAGTGCAGAACCTCCCTGACAATTGAGGAGTGGTCTTATCTTGCTCCTGCCTAACCCCAGGATGTATGTCTTGCAAGAATAATGTGCAGCTGTGGAAAATTACTATGAGTTAAGTGTTTTGAAAATGCTATATAAACCCTTGGCTTTGAGTGCTCGGGGTCCTTGTTGAGACCCGCTGCATC